ACTGCTGACCAAGCTCTGCAAGCTGTAACTGTACCTTCAAATGCTTCAACCTCAACTTTTCTGTTTTATACTCAATCATCTTAAGTTTTTGGGTGTGCAGTTGCTCAGCCTCACGTTGTGATTGTTGTTGATCAACACGTGTTGCCTCTTGCAGATCGGCAATATAATCCCTTTTTGAGCGGGGGTAGTGGAGCATGAAGATAAAGATGGGTGTGAGCTTTCCCCCTTCTTCCGGAGTGTTGTTGGGCGCAAGCCTAACTTCTCAGGTAGGCTGAGTGGGGATTTGACTAAGTTTAGAGGTGGAGAACTTGGAGTGCAAGTGGGACTGGCCGGTTCTGTGGGTGCCTGAGAGGATAGTGTGGGCTGCTTCATATCCGGTTCCTAGTTGAGGCCACTGTGGTTAGGATTGTTGCTGGAAATTTGGAACTGAATACTATACTTCATCAGAGGAATCTTCAGCCACTCCAGTTGCGAGTTTCAGTGAACTATCATCTTTCATGATAAGTTCCTCCAGATCTTTAGCCATTTTAGTGGCACCAGAATTGGAATTTGTGATTAAGCCGATGTCATGCTTGGGTTGTTTGCTTCACCACTCATGAAGCATGTCCCACCATGGAAATGCCTGTCGGACCCGTTCTGCCAATGCAAAGTATATCAGTGATATGAAGTATAGTGCCACAGAATGTGAACGTAAAAAAGGGTGACATACCGACTTTGTTCTCATCCCAGTTCTCATCATCATCCTTCACCCCTTGTCCTGTTACCCGAAGTGATTTCCGATATTTTTGATATGTCTTCTGGAGCCTGAATGTGAAGCTAGGCATCAGTGCAATACAGGAAAGGGAATGTGCACATACGTGTTGACCCAGCCCATGACTGAGGTGGCATAGCGACCTGGTTCCTCCAGGTACAGTGTGCGCTCTGGTTCATTCTTGATGTCAAAGCAAATCCCAGCAATGTCATGGTAATATGCAATCTTTGCCTTGCTCCCTACAACCTGGAAAAGGAGTCAGCGAGGTTTCTCAGAACGCTATAATATGTTACCTTCTTGCGGCCTTCTTCCTTAGCTTGACCTGTGGAGTCGCTGAAAATTTTCAGCCGGGTGTCAGGGTTCTCAGCAAGGTAGGTGACTAGGCAGTCTGTCCAGCGAGGATTGGCATCCCACTGAATCTTCTGGACTTCAAGCTTGACTGAGACTTGTGTGAGGGAGGTCTCTGTAGAGCGGCGGCGCTTCAGAGCAGACTCGGCAGGGTGAGGGCAGTCTCCCTGAACCCGCTTCGGAGGCATAAGTTAAGGATGGAGAAGAGCGAAAGGATGGAAACTGTACAGTTGCTTGCAACAGACATATGGGATTAAAGCCGGGTTTAGGATTCAAGTTTAGTCTAGTCTAAAGTACAGCTTCGGCCTCTCGAGGCCTGTTCTCAAATTTGGCTAAACTGACGGTTTAGATCCAGTTTTGACCAGTTGAGGTGCAGTTGAGAATCCTCAGTTTTGATGGCAGTTTAGCCCAGTTTAGCTAATTGTGAAACCCCCTATTGCGCTCCTCTTGCAACACCCACAAGCCACAAATACTTTGACCATTTGAAGCTGCCCTGCTTCGATAAGTTAAGGACAATGTATCCACAGAACCTAGGAAGCTTTCGGCTTGAGTGTGAGCAAGGAGTCGAGAAATAATCACAGATTCCATCATGAGACCACACACAGAAGGGAGTAGAGATGATGGGACGTGGAACAGGGCATGGAGCATAGCTTTTATCCATTCCCCATTGAGCATGTGAAAGAAGTGGGAAAACTCAAGGGCAGAATGAAGGACACTGAGGTTCTGCAAGGGGGAGCTTTAGAGAACCTCCAACCTCCAACTCTGGTTTTCTGGTGGGCCTTGTGTCACCCCACTCGGGAACCACATCCGACAGGAACCGCATCTGGGAGGATTTCATTCATTCAATCCACCTCTTGAGCCACTCTGTGCCTTGTGTGTGGTTGGCCCGACTGGTGCCTACTTGACTGGTGCCTGTTTTATGGGCAGTGCAGAATCAGTGGGCACTGCTTTGAACTTGTACAGTCGGCTCGTACCTGGCACAGCGGAATTGGAAGAGGCCATCAAATTGGCTCTCAATGCAGCAGTCTCCAGATGATGGAAACTCTGACTTTCAGTGCGCAAAATAGTCTCACATTCTACACACTGGAGGCGAATCAACTCCTTCCACAGGTCTCTATTGAGGTGTGACATGATGCATCTCTGTCACGACTGACAAATCCCAGGGCTCCGTCAGTGGCAAATCGATGCTGATAGGCGAATCCACCGACCCGAAACCCAATCTAACCAGCCCCCAATCCGATGTCTGGCCCCCTACCCTATCAACCATGCACTGCATCCAGACCTCCACCTGCATCCAGACTTCTGCCCGCATCCGGACCTCCACCCACATCTGTACCTCTGCCCACCTCCACACCCTCTGGACCTCTGCCACTCCTGGTTGCCCTCCACACCCTGTGGTCAGGCCAACACTCCCCTCCAACCTTGCTGGCCATCATGCTGCCCTTGTTTGTGACAGCACTGATGGACCACCCTCTGTTGCGGACTTGTCAGCACTGCACTGATTTCCATGTCCCTTCACAGACTTGTGTCGGCACCGCACCGACCCCGCTTATTTGCGGACTTGTATCAGCACTGTGCACTGACCTCCACTTTTCTCTGGCCATCTTGTCACTCAGCAGCATACCATTCATTCGCTTAACTTGCCAATATTGGCACTTGATCCATGTGCTGATGCACTTCTTATTACCTGTCAATATTGGCACTTGATCCGCTTTTGTTTAGTTCATTGCCTCCCATTTCCCGGGCTCTTGTCCTTCATTCAGTTTGACAATCCCCGCTTATTTCCGTGCCGGACCACGCCAGACTGACCGGTCCTTCTGTGTTTCCCTCCTGCCCATTTATATCCTGTAAATACTTTTGGGGACCTTAGTCTGAAATCAACTAGATGTCAGGGATGGCTCGAGGAAGGCAGAGGTAGCGGCGTAACGCTCGGCGCTAGCGGCCCAGACAGCGGTGGGGCGGTGAGACCGTATAGTGGATAGCCCTTACTTGGGCTTACGTCCCTGTGTGGCTTCTTAGGCTGAAGCGGGAAATGTATTGTTATTAGGGTGGGAAGCCAGACTAAACTAGGGTACTTGCCTGAAGCAGGAAATGAGAAGAAGGTTACTTCTTCGGTCCTGCTTCAGCTTAGTTTGTGAATGGGTCACGTGGGGTTGCCACGTCACCCTCGGACGAAGCCGGGTTACCGCAGGTGGTTCCGCGGTCGATCCTGAGTGTTGGAGGGGAAGTACAAGTAGAAGTGTGCGGCGCATCTGGCGTTGCAGTGCCCCTATGGGGTGCTCAGCATCGGATGCATCCGTGCTACAAGGGTAGGAAAGAAAGAGAGGTTGTCTGTATAAAGATAGAAAAAGAGAAGAAGGAAAGAAGAGAGAATGAGGGGATGAGACAAAAGGAAAAGGAGGTGGCGGCGGCGGCAGCGTGCCCTGACACTAGAGTACCCCCCCTGTCTGGTCTGAGTCTCTCCTTCTGCAAAGGGGGCTTCCCCCCTCTGAGTCTGTGCTCATGGAGTTTGCACTCCTCCTACAGGTCCGCTCCACCTGCAAGTCTTGTTTGAATTCCACTGTGAGTGTCAATCCGTAAATATGGGATCTCCCCCAAACGTCAAGCTCAGGGCACAGTGCTCCACCTGAGTCGCTGAGGCCACAATCCCACTCTGCTAACCTTGAACAGCGCTTCCGGACACACCACATATTTCCACCCACATATCCGCACATGCACACTCCAACAGACCTCTGCATCACCTCCGACCTCAACTCAGACAGAAACCATCCATCTTCAGTCCATCTTCTGACAGTCTGCCCGACTCTGACAGTATTCCATCTCCGACAATATTCCAGTCTCTGACAGCATTCCAGACTCTGACAGTCTCGGATTGAATGGGTGCAAGATCAACAAATTCCGGAGCCCAGTTGCTCGTGAAAGCATTACATATGCAGATTGAACCGATTGAGCACTTTCCAGATCAACAATCACTTTTGGCAGCATTGTAGGTGGGATAATTGCCTACACACAGACTCGGCTCAGATACCCGATTCTATGATTAGGAAACGACTTTCATTCATGCGATGACTTGGTACGGATTTGATACCTAAAAATAGTGCTAATTCGTACGATTCCGACGGTATCAAAAATGTCCCAATCGGTGGAGAATTGACAGAGTTCCGTGTTGGAGAAGTTAGGCACAGCAGGTCACGGGCATGTGCGGGCGTGGGAATCTCAAGCAGCAACCCAGAATTCCAGCCTCACTCGTTCCCACGGCGTCTAATAAATTGGTAAAAATGCCCATTGACTGCGTAATAGTTCCATTCAGCCACATTTCCAATTTCGGTTCTTAATTCCGTAAATCCGTTGAGATATCGCTTATTTCCTTTTATTTTCATATTTCACCATCATTTCAGTTATTGATTGATATTCTTTTATTGTTACTATTACCCTTTTTTATTATTTCGCCTAATAAGGTACCCAGGTGCCATATGGTACTAATATTCACCATCTATTAGTTCTAAAAATAATTATTAGATATAATCCTGTAAATAGTGGATTTGGAAAAGAAGTTCTCCCCTCCCCCAAAAATTCTCTAGGACGTGCTAGAGTTGGAGTGAGTGTGTGGAATCCAACAGTAGGAATAAGGGCAACTGTCTAGCCCACAACGAGTGGGTAGTAGATTAGTTGAGCCTGGACCTTGTGGAATCCTGGAGAACCCACCACGGAGTTATAGGATCGAGCATAGTGAAGTCAAGAGAGAAAGTAGAGGTTTTGGAGAGTTTGGCCCCACGAGCTTAGTCGGCATCAAGAGCTGTGAGCCCTCTTTCAGCGTTCGGCCTTGCGACTTGTAATCAGTTATGCAGAAAGCTGGCAACAGTGGGAGTTGCATGCATTTCACAGAGATTGTTTGCCCTGTAAAGTGGTGTTTGATTTTGATTGGAATGGATTTGGGAAGGATGACACTTTGATGTGGAGGTAAATTTGTGAAAGGAACATCGCTGGAGTCTGGAATAGTAACTACACAGCTGGTTGCAGAGCGTCTTCCCATATCATCAGTAATGTAACAGACGGATTCCACCACACCATCACTTCCATTTACAATGCCATTTGAGACATCAAAGTTTTCGCATACCATCACTGGCATATTCAGGAGCAAGGGCAAACGGCCCATTGTATAGCCAGTTGAAGACTCTGATGTGAGATTTAATAGTTGTTCATTCAGAGTTTCATCATTAATCCATTGATTTTTATAGTAGTGGGCAGCATCATATGTAAACAGGGAGAGACCCTCCTGAGCAGCCAAAGTCTTCACAGCAGCCCAATTTAATGCATCTTTGACTGCATTTGATGCCGCGATAATTGGAGCAGACCCCCAGCCATCTGAGCTGCAGAGTGTCTCTGTGTTGGACTCCAGTAGCCGAGTATCCAGTAAAGCTTTGTCCCCAGCAGTACAGTTGCCAAACCTCAATCTTCCTAGGAGGTCATGAAAAGCAGAGTTGGCACTGCCCTCCTGACGCATCTGCTGTTTCAAAAAGACCACTGTGTCAACCAATGACCATAGCTGAGCTCCTTTCAATTTTTCCTGGCTGTGCTCTGATAAGGAGTCCACCACATTATTTGTCATCTTGATAGCAGGAGTGTACAATCGGGTGCAACCCACAGGTGGCAGTTGGCAGAAATCACCAGCAAAAATAATGCTCACACCCCCAAAAGCATCAGAGTTATCTTTTGCAAGGGATAAAGTGGAGCTGATGTCTGCCAATAGTTCACATCCTATCATTGAAACTTCATCAATGAACAAGTATTCAACTCCACACCAAAATTGAACCAGCTGGGCATGACTTTGAGAACCATTAGATTTTATCATCTGTGTTAGCTGACCCAAATTGAGAGCTGAATGCAGAGTACATCCTGTGATGTTTCGTGCAGCAGTGTGAGGTCTCTGGGGTAGCTCAGCCCACAGAGCCGTAAGTGATACAAATGTGTGTATTTTATGGTAGTGTGTAAGCAGTTACCCGGAGGTTCCTGCTTACCCATGTGACTATATGTATCTAATTACATGTGGCTTGGGGTTCGGGGCTATTGCCCTGACAAGCAGCTCCTGTAAAGGCACACAAATGCAACCGACATTGTAAGCAGGCTAGGGATCTAACCCACTAGGAAAACAGGAAAGGACGGGGACCGGATTGGTATCCAGCAGGTCAGGAAAAAAAGGGGTAATGGTGATAATGGTCCAGTGCGGTGCATGGGTGGCTCTAATCAATCTCTCACCCCACCTCTCTGGGTGACACTAAAGCGAGGACTGATCTAGAGGTCTTCTTACTGATGTTCTTCGTCGTAATACTCCCTACTAGCTTGGGAGGGGCAAACTCGGTGGTTTCTAATCCAAGGGGAAAAGTAGATACATCCTCATGTACAGGTATATATGAGAAATGATCAAATAAAAATGATAAAAATATCCGATGTGCCCCATGTGCTTAGGTGGATCATATGGGCAACAAACAATATCGGAAAAAAGAAGGGAAAACAATAATCAAGAAAACAATAAAGCAATAAATGATTTCCAGCCAAAAAAATACCCAACTCTATCCATCGCCAATGAACTCCCGCTAATCATGGATCCTAATACTCCTAAATGGCGCGTTTCCAACGGTACCAATATCGTCCAAATCGGTGCAGTGGTTGCTGAGATAAGTGAAATCCAGTCTGAGTGTGGCCACGTGGCTGGGTGGGCGTGGGAATTTGGTCTGTGAGGACTGGGAATGTGTCTGGAAAAATAGGGAAAAATCATTGAAGGGTAGAAATAGTATATGAGGATGTGTACGATGTGTTTAGTGAAGTGCAGATGTGCAGGGATGGGGAAATCGCGATATTTGGTTTGTTTGTGCAGTACCGGCTGTGCCTGCCTACAACGTGACTGAGTCAGGGAGTGAAAAAAAGCAGTTAAAGCTTTGATTACTTGAGATTTGCCAGTTCCTCCTGCTCCACCCATATACATGAGTAAAGGTTGGCGTTCAGCACAAGGCAGAGCTGCATGTTCAGCAACTAAATTGAATGTGTGTGCTGCTCCAAATTCAAAGAGAAATGAGAAGCCACTGTCACCATGATGTCATGAGTGGCTAAAGTTGCAGTTGGTGAAGGTCCTGAATCGATGTAAGCTGCCACACCAAAAACCTCATGTTGCTGATAAGCCTCATTGTCCATAATCATTGCTTGCCTGTTCACAGTACACAGAGATTGCAGGGACTCAGGATTGGCCCCATCGTTCAAAGACAGTTTCAGAACTTCTCTTGCAGCATTTTTGCGATCTTTGTAGTCTGCTGTCCATTGCAACTCCAAAGCACCATCGTCAAGGATGTGATGGGCAAAGGAAGGTTGTGCAGCCAAAGAATCCAATTGCCCTGTAGAAGTGATGGCATCAGAGAGCACTTCTTCAGCTGTGGTGTCAATGAAGAGACCTGCATTCATAGCATGCTGAAGTGCATTATGGATGTGGACATCTTCCCCCTCACGTTTTTGAGAGCAACGTTCCTCCACATCAAGCAGATGAAGCAGCATAGAGTGCTCATCTTCTGGGCCTAAGTCAGGTACGTTGTCCATGTTTGAATCTGCCACTGAGTTGGCTTGAAATTGTGTCCCACGAACCCGTGTCCGGCACTTTGCAAAGTCTTCATCACGACTATCCTTGCATTCATGTAACACCTGGATATTGTTGATCACTTGGGCAATGTGGGGGGGAGCACTAAGCAGAAAATGGTTGAAGGCATCTGACCAGGTTGGCCAGTGGTCTCAAACATCATGTGGTGATCGCCAAGGCTTGAAAAGAGTGAGCATCACACAGCAATAAAACTCAAATTTAGGTACATTGTCTCTCTGTGGTAAAGCAGGGCCAATAGGGACAGGTATGAGCGATGTCGAAGCTTTCTGAGAATATGAGTGGAATGTTGTGGGTGGCTGTCATTCAGAGCTGATGAAAGTGAATGAAAGGTGTGTCCTTGGGCATCCCTGTCACCATCAACATCGCAATCAACAGAGTGTCAGGGGACAGACCCCAGGTCCCCATGACCCCTCTCTACAGTCCACAGTCTGGCCTGTAAACACAGCCCATCTCAGGGCATAGCTACTGTGGGTAAGAAAGTGAGAAGAAGGTTAACTTCTCACTTTCCCACAGTGGCCCAATATGGCAAAAACTTCCGGGGATACCCAGAAGTCACATGAGGTGGGATCCGGGGTCGGATCATGCGGCACGCGGAGCGTGCGGCGCAGGAAGTGTGCAGGAAGTGGAGCGGGTCCGGACGCGGGTCCGGGTCCGGGCTAAGTCAGGGTATGTGCCCTGACACAGAGGAAGAAATTGAGCGAATGCGCACTTTATCTACCCATGACACAAAGTCCCAAACACACAATTGGTCGAAAAAAGAGGAGTGGTCCCGAGCCATGTAATCTGTCAGCTGTGATGGTGGGCGCTCAACTTGGCCAGAAACTGGGTCTGCATTCAAAATGCATGAGTCCTCCATTTCCACCTCTGCTGGCTCAAAGGCCTATGTAGCAACATCAGTAGAAATGGGATCCTCAGCTTGAACAAAAGAAACAAACATGTGCCAAAACAAAGATCGGAAGTGGTGACTTGTGAAAAAATCATCAAATCCAAGTAAGTAAGATGCCACTTGTGGTGCTGCCAGCTCCTGTTTTGCAATCAAGGAATTTGCACACTTCACTAGAGCGCTTTGGGCTCGATCTATCACACCTAGACCTGAGTTGGTGTTTTGACGTAATTTGGATACAGCTGCTTGCAGTGCAGCAAATGCAACATGAGTTTTGAGTGGTGTTTTGGTGATGTAGTCTGTAATGTAGTACAAAATAGCCTTTGCTGACACTCCAGAGCCAATAAACTTGATGTCCATATTACATCTGACAGCTCTGATTATTGTTTCGCAGTAGTTGTTCACCATTCCATCTGATACCTGTAAATTAAGTTCACCAGATTCCATGTCCATAGAACTTGAATTGCTGACATTTTCTGGGGATAGCCCAAAGCGACAGGTTGAATCACCATGTTTGTAGCAAGTGGCAGTGTGCTTATGCACTTGGCATTTTTTCACAATGTTATACAAGTCTTTTTGACAAACCTCATGTTATAAAAATGGGGCCTAATTGGCCCATTTCTATAGCGTTCGGGTGCAGGAGGGGGCCGTGACATTGAGAAGATGTTACAATTAATGTAACAGGTGTTGTAACAAAGGTGTTTACAGTAACATTGACATCGGGTTTTTGGGTAGTAATAATCGGTTAGGTTGTTATTATATACATGTCACGTGATAATATACTGTACAGAGGCCATAAGAGGCTAAAAATGGGAATTTCCCATTTCCATAACACCTCATCTGGATTCATATCAGGGTGACAATGAACACTGCAAGGATGGTGATGGTCAGACATGCAATCTGCAGTGGGGCCAGGATCTGGAATTGAGTTTCTGATTGTGTCATCCAGAAAATCAAGGAGCCTATCATGCCATGCATAATCATGGTCATTCAGGACACAGTCTTTAATTTGCTGTGGATTCAAGGCCCCTTCAATCCAAATCACCATATGACAATGTAAGGTACCTCAACCTTGTGTTTCTACAGTGCCAATGCCCCAAAATACCATCAGCACATATGCCATCTGTAACTGAGTGACCCAAAATTGCAGATATGAATGCATCAGTGACATGTTTGAAGAAACGGGCAGCCACAAAGGGGTTTCAAGATACACAGGTAGCTTGGTCCCAATAAGATGGCACCTGTTCTGGCAACATGTTGTCAAGGTCAAAGTCAGGGCCAGAGAGAAATTTCACAATTGGATTATAAACATCAGCAGGGTTGATAGTGACAAAAAAACTGGGAGGACCTCGATCAAATATCAAGCCATGAATCTCATTTCGCATTTGTGTACATGCAGCATGAGAACCAGGGACCTTGGATGTAATGAGAGAGACATCCTTCATCAGTTTAAACACAGCCTGTTCATCAGGATCATGGGGGGAAGAGTAATCACCAGAGGAAAGTCGAGACAGCGTGGTCTCAAAGGCTTGAGGGGAAATGCAGGCAATAGTACTTGCTACACGATCAAAATTGGAATTGGATGTTTCAAGTTTGGAGTGAAATGAAGTGGTTTGCCGTTGAATGATATTGAAGATGAGGAAAAAAAAAGAGTAATGTTCTTGAAATCTCAGGTCTGATAGTGAGAACAGATGTTTGGCCATTCTGGGCAAACTCAGGGGGGAGGCACAACTGGGGTGATATCCTCCAATGCCATAGGGGTATAAAGTGGGATATAAAAGAGGCAGTAAATGGGGATCAGAGTAATGATTGACTGTCAAAAACCCGTCGGTTATGGAAGAGGGGATAAATGCATGAGTCCGAATGCAGGCGGGGCTCAACTAGAGGGGGGTCCGAGGGCTCCGGTAGTGAACCGAAGCTTCTCAGGGAGCCCAGTTCTGCTGGATGGTACAAGAGGCTCTAAGAAGGATGCGGCCTCAGCGACTCGGAGGGAGCGCTGTGCCTCCGTTACATCTCAGTTAGTCTTTGTATTTCTTATGTCTGAGGTGTCTTGTAGAACAGGGACAGGATTCACTCAGAGGGACTTTGGGTGGCATTTTAGTCGAGATTAGAACTGAGGAACTACAGGTTCTAATCTACGTGTATTTATAAAGGAGGAGGGGGAGGACTTTAGACAAAGCCCGAAATGACAAAACGGGGAAAACACCGAAAGGTACCGAATGATACCGAGAGGTACCGAAAGGTTCCGGACGATATCTAAAACGGGGAACTGAGGTGTTGGGCCAAGGAGGGCGGAGTTGGAGGCCGGAAAATGAATGGGGAAGACAAATGGGTAAAGGGGGGTTAGCCGACTGAATGGCAGTAAGAAGGTAGTCGTGCTAAGAATGGAAGATGACTAATAAGTGATAGCGTGAAGGAGATCACCGAAGGATGCGGTTAGCTCCGAAAGCGGAGTTGCATATCCGAAGGATGTTGGGTGACTCCAATAAATGAAGTGGGTGAAGGAATGGTTTAAGGGCATGTCATGGGATGTCGGAGGTCCATCAGGATATCGGAGCAAATCCGGGGTCTCCGAATGTTCCGACTCGGGACCGAGGTTCCGGGATGGGAGTAGCCAAGGTTCGGTGTGCCACAACCAGACCGGAGCTGAGACAGTCAGGAGGGAAGGTGACTTGGAGAGTGGGGAGGCATGGTGTAGGGGATGGTGAAGTTGTTAGGAAGGTGTGATGTGGTGGGAGTGTGCAGGGTCGGGATTCCGGGATATGACATTGACAGGTTCAGCAGCATGACCCACTTGAATGTGACCACCTATTTCACCACTGGCACGCTTAAGGTGACAAAGTGCTGCTGCAGTCATTTCAGCAGATGTGGCATCACACATGTCTAAGTCAGTGACCAGCACACTGGGCAAAAGGTTGCTGAAGTGAGAGGGAATGGAATCATCGGAAGCCACATTAACCAAAGGATCATCATAATGGGAGCCAGGGGCATCGCTTGCAACTGTGGCATGGTGCACCTCAATTGGCACTGGGGCTATGTCATGGTGTGGAATGTGTGCCAGATTTCCTTCATGTAAAACAACATCACTATACAGTGGATTATTGGCAATGAGCCATTGTAATGCAGCTCGCACTTTCTCTTGTCGAACTAACAAAGGTCGAGCATTGGACAAAAGCCACTCTTTAGAAGGGGTGTGGGAACCAACAAACACGACACACATTGGGGTCACCACATCTTCCAATGGTGGTGGCAAAAAGGGTGCAAGTGCTTCAGGTGTAGTGGGAAATACAATGATGTGTCCTTTCAGCGCACGTTGAGAGACTGGGCTCACAGATGAGAAGGCAGCTCCAGTGGTATGGGAAGAAGAAGAGTCATCATGCAAGTGAATTATCCAGCTTTTTGCACGACGCCTGGCTATCAGAGCTTCCTCAATCAAAGTGAGATTGGCAAGTTGGGATGGAATTGGCCCGAAAAATAAATCATTGGCTATCACAGTGTTAGGCAGTCGCTTTCACTGTAAACTTCGATGACAATCTTTGCAAATGTGAACCATTACCGAAGAGTCCAATATGAGGACTACACCTTCTGGGGATAGCATAATGTCATGCAGAAATGGAATGTTGGGAAAAGGGTGAGGTGCAGTGGGTGGATATTCACGTCGAAGGGGAGAGATATCATATGAGTGCAAATCCACAGGGTCCATAAGCATAGCCACTTTAAGCTTTGCTGCACTACATATGGCACACACCAAGGAGGAAAGGTGGTTGGGGCCCAGTGTAGAATAAAAATCCATCAACAAGTGCTTCTTTGCAATGGGTGACAGCTTTTCAGGCCATCGTGTAGCGCATGAATGTTTCCACTCAGCATACCGAGCCTCAGCTGTCATAGTTGAAGGGGCCACACAGTTGGCTGCATGTTGGAGTAACAATCTGTGCATGGAGGACATGTTTGCAGATGAATTGAAAGGCAACTTCCAATGGTTCAGGAGTCGGTGGAGAATACAATCCCAGACATCAACACTTGCGATCCAGCGAATTAGGGCTGCATGATTAACCAGTTGTTCATCAGCGCTGGCAGGTTCTGAATAGCAAAGGTAGCGAAACTCAGCTGTAGAAGCATTGATTACTCCAAAGTTGCAAGTAATAGGGGGTTTCACAATGAGCTAAAGTGGTCCTAAACTGGGATGTAAACCAGACTTAAAGTGACCCGAGTTGAGGGACAGTTAAGAGTTCAGTTTAGATGGGAGTTGAGAAGCATTCACAATGGACTGTCCCAAACTAGTCCCAAACCTGCCCAACACTTGAGGCCACAGCTGGCTCCTTATCACCGACACCACGTGGCTCTAAATGGATTATGTAACTCATCACTGCTGCCATCCAACATGCTGAACTCATTCAAAGGCCAACGATGCCAACTCTTTGGTGGCATGTGGAAACTATTTCTGCACACTGGGCCCCTGGTACATCAAGCATCGGCACTTTGGAGTAGGGTGAGAGTGATCTCCCTGTTGGATTATGAGTCACCAGCTGCTTCAGCGATTCCACCTCCATTGTAATCCAGTCTCTCCGATGCATCTGTGCACTATCCAACCCTTTGCATCGTATCATATATACACCTAATAATATTTGTCACTTATGGCCACTGCCCTTTGCAGTCCCACTTAAGTCCCCCACTATAGTGCGAGTGTAGCCACTGAGTGCTAACACCTTACCAGGCTAGTCATAGCAACACTCCCTGAACCCACTTTGGAGGCACAAGTTATGAGCAATAGCTTGAATTCACAGTCGGTAGCTAAGTTGATGGCATGATGCATCAGCAAAAAATTGTTATGCTTCTGAGTGCTCCGGAGTATGGGGAGCACTGGGAGAATCAGGAGGAGATTGGCCGGTCCAGGAACAGCTCATTTCCTCCAGAGTTGGTCAGGTACTCCAGGGCACTCCCAGGAGGGCATGGAGCATTGCTTTGTGCACAAACATATCCAGTAAATACAATTTAATGCTTCAAAATGTATAGGGGTGATGTCATATCCATACAATCCCAACCTCCACTCCGGGCTCCCGGAACTCCGAACTCCGACTTCCGGAGCCCTACTTCCCTTCCATCACCTTCTCCTTGCCGACTCCCAAGAGGTTATCCCACCTCCGGCCTGGACACCACCTTCGGTCCGACTCCGGAACATTCCGGGTCCGGCCCCAACCACGACACCTTCCAGACGAGTATGCAAAACCTATGCTCCCGACTCCGGACCTCCGCTCCGGAATCCCGTTCGCGTCTCCGTCTCCGGAACCTCCGGTCTTAGCTCCGACCTCGGACTTTGACCCCACCTCCACTTATACCCATTGTATTGGTTAGCTCATTCCATTTAATTATGTTTGCCAATATTCCGGAGTTTAACTTCTGAGTTCGGACTTTCCGGACTTACCTCGGACCTTGCAACTATTGCATTGTCCTATTCAACTCCGCTATTCTCCCTCATTCCTATTTGGGCTGCTGCTTCCTTTCTATTCAGTCAGCTAGCCATTCCCCACTCCCAACCTCCTTCCTTCCTCCTTGGGCCTTGGCCCTTCATTCCTCCTTTGAGAAACACCATTGAGTCAAACCCTTGACCCTCGGTGTTGTTCCTCTTCCCATCTCCCCTTGTCTCCTTTTGTCCTACCCTTGTTCCTTTTGATTCCGGACCCCTCCTTATATACAATGTACCTAGTAACTTGTAACCTCAGTCCGAAATCGACATGAATTCCCCCAAGAGACTTTCCCTCTGCTAGATCCGAAATTAGGGACCCCTAGGACAACCAGCAATGGCACAGCGCTCTGCCTGAGTCGCTGAGGCTGAGGTCCTTCCATGCTAAGTCTCCGATTCCATTCCGGAGTCATCTGAGTCCGCTCATTCTAACAGGTGAGAAGCTTCTGGGAGCTCCTGGAGCATTTGAAAATGAAAAGGAAAAAAAAAAAAGAGGGAAGACTCCCCATGAATACCTCCTACCACAAGACTAACACAACAAGACACTACTTAACACTTAGATCAAACACTATACTATACATCAAGGACACTGAGACTCACCAATACACAGTCAAAATTTATGGCCTGATATATGATTAATCTGGCAACTTAATCACTTTCGGACTTGCAGAATATGGAGGGGGAAATGGGGGAGAATGAGGGGGGAAATGAGGGGGAAATGAGGGGGAGAATGAGGGGGAATATAGAGGGAAATGAGGAAAATTTGAAAAATAGGGACTTCTAAAAAGTTGAAAAAATAATTAGGGAAAAAATCAAAAAAAAAATCAGGAACTGTAGTGCCTTTGAAGTGCTTTCAGGATATATAATTATTTGCGAAATTGAGGAAGAAATGATGGAGAAAAATGGAAAATACTTTCGGAGACCCAAGAAATAATGAGAACTGAATTGATGGGAAAGTCTGAAAATTGAATAGGAAAGTGAGGGGAAGCCTTGTAGCATTGTTATTTTCTGCTGTTGTGATTTTTCCCGATTCTTCTTGGTCTCATTCCCAGCTGCTCCTCAATACTCCTGGAAGCTCCTGAAAGCTCCTGGGAGGGTCCGGGAGCAGCTGGGAGTGAGACCAAGAACAATCAGGAAAAATCACAACAGCAGAAAATAACAATGCTACAAGGCTTCCCCTCACTTTCCTATTCAATTTTCAGACTTTCCCATCAATTCAGTTCTCATTATTTCTCAGGTCTCCAAAAGTATTTTCCATTTTTCTCCATCATTTCTTCCTCAATTTTGCAAATAATTATATGTCCTGAAAGCTTTAAAGGCACTATAGTTCCTGAATTTTTTTTGGTTTTTTTCCCTAATTTTTTTTTTCAACTTTTTAGAGACCAAAATTTTCCTCCCACTGCTCCTGGCACATTGCATACTCCTCACCACTCCCAGCCGCTCCTGAACCCCCTCCCAGGAGAACACTATTGGCTCCAGGAGTGCCCAATCTGCTGTTTTGTCTCCCACATGCTCCAGCCACTCCTGATGCTCCGGAGCATAACGGACTTTTGCTGATGATGTGGTGGGGTTGACTGCAACAGCAGTGCTGATAGTGACGGAGAGACTAATTCGGTGAAGGATCTGTACAGTTATCCGAACAGACATATGTATACTAAGCCCGAGTTTGGGATTTGAGTTTGGACTACTCTAAAGTACAGCTTCGGCCTTCAGAGGCCTGTTTTCGAATTTAGCTAAACTGACAGTTTAGAACCAGTTCTGTCCAGTTTAGGTGCAGTTAAGGATCAGCAGTTTTGGTGCACTTTAGCCCATCGTGAAACCCCCTAATGTCACAGACTAAATGAGCAAACAAACCGGTTTGCAACTGTTCTCGAGTCAATGATTGTAAATTGTGATCATACGTTACACGATGGAAGCGACACAGGGCAAGTAGATCAACACGGGACAATCGTTCAAATGAGCGCAGTACACTCAATCGATCAGGGAATCGAGACTGTATGGAAATGAAATGTTGTATAATTTGCAGGCAGTCCACTTGAGCCACACGATATCGATTGCCAGGTACAACGCCCAAAGCGCTGCATACAAGCTTCAAAACATCATATGACACAGAGTTGGAATGCAAAAAATCAAACACGCGCCCTAAATAAACATCGCAGTCAGCCCATTGGGATGACACATTGACGCAAGCGGAGACGGGACTGTGGTAGCATTCCCCGTTGACAATGTGACGTAGAAGTTGTAAAATAGCGTCGTTGATCGGTAAAGAGTCATCATATATTCCATGTTCGATAGCATCGATCACAACAGTGGACTCAGAAAATGGAGGATCGGTAGATAAGAAGGAAAAGGGCCAACGAACAGAAGACGCGGTCATTGGGGATTTGGGGATTTGAAGATTTGGGGGCGAAAGTCAGAGGCGATGGAATCGAGGGGGATACGAACCAAGAAAGGAAAAGTTGAACGTGATAGTACTGTAGGTTTGGGAGGCGGGACACGAGAGTGGAGGCTGCGAATGAGGACCCTGGTAACCTAGGGAAAATGAATCTGAGGTATTGGCAATGATAAAGGACCTCTTGCACGGCTATAGGCTTTTCGCGTCGCAAAGATGAGTAGGACCCGCTACAGAGTAGCGGGAATTTCAAATTTGTCAATCCTGGGGAGGCTCGGGCCATCCCGTAGGGGTTCGTTGGAAATTGCGAAAAACAGCCATCTTCAGAGGCTTTCCTCGACCATGAAGTCCGGTAATGTGTATGGGTTACTGTTGCTCACGATTTTTGAGGTGAGTGAAGCGATGGTCTGTCTGCTCGTAAGCGCATTAAGCGTAGACGATGGCGTCAGTCCATTTTGGAAGTATTCATTATGTGTTTTAGTGGCTGGTGCGTGCTTGCTGCCCAATCCCAACCCAAAACTGAAACACAGTTGGCTTGGACAGGGCATTAGCCCGCAAAGGGGTTCTCGACAAACTTGCCCAGAAAAGAATGAACGCAATCAATATAGGGCTCTTCACGCCTTGTCTGCTATTTTCCAAAGTAGCCTCGTCGCTCACGCCACAAAAGCTCAAGGAACTGTGGATTATCCCCATAATTTTCGTAATGGTGACTGCCATATCTGGGATAGTCGCGTCGATCATAACCACTATGCTGCGCCTGAAGAGATCTCAGCGGAACTTTTGTATGGCGGCCTCGATGTTCAGCAATACCAACTCATTGCCGATTGCGCTCATACAGAGTATGGTGTTCAACATCAAGGGTCTCAGCTGGGGCCCGGATGACAACGCTGATTCGATGCTCGGGAGAGGATTAGGGTATATGATTCTTTACGCGAATTTCAGTACGATGGTATGCACCAGCCTTCCTACTTTCCCCGTCGCACTGTAACCTGTGACTGGATATTATGATAGGCCCGTTGGTCGTACGGAGTTCATTTGTTAACCCAAGAGGAAGATGAACTTACCCAAAATCAAAGTACCCTCCAGCAAAACATTGATGCACGCCCCGAAGGATCCTCGATGGGGGTACCTGGTTTGCTGGAAGTCGGACTTCCTCCAATCCAACCAGCCCAAGTCCATAACCCAGCGGCGGTCGCCTCTCAAAACCAGGATTCACCTAGACAGCAGCGTGAATCAGAGGATGGATGGGGAAGCGATCATCTTCATCTGTCATTCCAAACTATCACATCGCCATCGTCAAGTATATGGCATTCTCGTGCCCGTCGAATAAAGACGAAATTACTAACATTCCTGAAGAAAGTTCACGAGTTCGCAACGCCCCCCCTGTATGCTTCACTTGCTGCATTTCTTGTTGTACTCATCCCCCCGTGCAGCATTTTCTGATGGAAGACGTTCCACCCGTGAGGGGCTTCCTAGAAAGTGCTGGCGCATGTTCGATCCCTATCACCATGTTAGTGCTGGGGGCGTATTTTCACGAGGACTCTGTGCTATCCCCAGTCCCCCCTACTAGTAATGAGCCCCGAACTCAGGAGAGCGATACCGGAGGGGAAGATTGCTTCCCGCCAGACCTAGAGCAACGTTCCGAATTGTCAGGACTGATGCACAGGGACCCGGACCAAGGACCGGGCCAAGGACCCAGCCCTCTACCACATCTCTGAAAAGATCATTCAAGACCCGTACTATCGAGTTTTTGGCATCTTCCTCGAATTCGCGCAAGAAGGGATTAGAATGCAAAACCAGCCCGGGGGAGACGACCACCGTAATTGTCTCGTGCTTGGCTCGGATGGTTGTGACACCTTTGATCATCCTGCCACCGATGGCTGTGCTGGCGGCGTATGAGGTACTTGATTTATTCACAGAGTGAGTCATCCCTGCAGCCAAATATCATGAATTGCTTATGTCGTTGTCAATTGTTCCTTCTCTGCAGCCCCGTATTTGTCGTATCAATTGTCCTGTTGATAGCATCCCCGCCTGCTTTGGCGCTAGCCCAGATTATACAAACCTTGTCTGGCCCGGGGGGCGCGTTTGAAAGACTTTTCGGTCGAACGATCTTCTGGGCATACTGCTTGTTTTCTCCCCCTCTCACCCTGTTCTACGTTGCCATTTCTTTGCGCTTCTTGCAGCTGTGACTTGCCGCTGTGACCATCGTTGCCCTGTCTCCCTGTACTTTTGCCGAGATGGTTAAAATAACATCCTGCAGCATCCTGCCGTCATTCAGAGCGAGGCTCGATACATAACATGCAGTAACAATACCATCACCAGTTATGATCTGAGAAGTCTCAATGAATCCCTGCGCGCAACTCGTGACCCATCGGACACGAAGTTCCCATGCTCGGGCCAAAAGGTTGCCCCGACCAACTGCAAACCTTCACACTAGTTTGGGTTTGGGGCTTCCCCTTACCGTTACATATCAGAGACATTTACGAGTCCCTTGTGCATACGGTGTTGTCATAACTGCTCAAGGCTCAGTGGAGCACGTTATCCCTTGCACGACATGCTCGGCGTCCATCATGGTTAGGCAAAGGCACAGGTGCATCTCGAATTGTAATGAAGCGCGGCTTTGCAATCCACTCAATATACCCGGGAAGGAGCGTGGGTGAAGTAGAATCTTCATTAGAGAGGTATCATGGTCAGTCATCACGTACCTTCAAGTCGGTCGCCTGGGTAATTACGGTTGCTTTGCCGGTGATTTCCCACAGTATGTGTCATTGGTGGTTGGACATGCAGGATGTGGGGCTGCTGCAACTTCGGCTACAACCAGGGCTCGAACGCTTCTCCTTACCCAGAAACTCGATGCTATTGGTGAAATGAGCTGTAATCCTTCGTTTGGAGGAGTGGGAAAGGGTACACTGGTTCGGGAAGTGGATGCACTAGACGGCATGTACGGTCGGGTCGCTGGCATCTGATCAATTTACCTCATTAAGTGTGCCTTCTGCCTGATGTCAGCTTAACCGACAAAGCGGGGATAATGTTCCACATATAAATAGGTCCAAAGGTCCTGCAGTATGGGTGAGAGGAAATGTGTACTTCCTGTCTCTACATAACAACTCGTTTTCTATATTAGCGCCTTCGCGTCCAAATCAATAGGAAGTGGTACAAGAGGCACATGCAAGAAATTTGTTTACTTATCCGAACCTCGATATCCGGGCAGCCAGCGCGCACGATTTATTCAGAGACCAACCATCTATTCCCCATGACATAGGGAATGCCGCCCTAGACAATCCCAATACCTTCAAACCACCAGTTTGGGCCCAAGTCGCCGGTATCCGTCTTGGTGAGATTGCGACCGAAGATTGAAGTGCGGGGCTTCACACTGATTTCTGCGATGGCGTAGATACCGGCGAGGAAATTAAGTGCCCATCGGTGGTCTTGTCCACACCTTCCTTTCCGGCGAGATTCATATTGGCCTTGTAGCCTACCCATCTGGGCGCATCAATGACCCGGTGTCTCCACCAGAAGGCATATCCGCTTCTTTGAGAAAAGCTAGATTTCAGACTGAAGACAGGCACACGCCCTCGCTTGGACAAAGACACCATAGATTGGAATCATCCGCAAATAATGGAACAAAAGGGCGATTCAGACGTTACACCGTTCTCGTATCTTACTGATCGTGCCGCTAATGAGGTTTAGTCTATTTCCCGAAACCCACAGGATAATGTCATGAATGTTAATTCTGATTAGCTTTATGTTTAGGCCCGATATACTGCCCATCGATAGAGTCCAAAGTCATCAGGCTCACCGAAAAAGACGGACATACTGTATGGTTGGAACGGTATATCCTGTACTCTCCCAGGGGATAAGCAAGAACAAATGCTCCGTACCATTCGGGGACTTGAAAATGTCAATATGATTCGATCAGGTTACAGTGTCGAATATGACTGTATCAATGCTCGGGAGCTCAAAGGTCAGCTTCTTGGCCTCATTCGTGGGTCTCCGTTATCACCGTGCAGCAACTCTTGAGACGAAACGTATAACTGAACTGTTTCTCGCTGGTCAAATAAATGGTATGCCAAGGCTCGTACGTATATGGGTTTGATTTGCTTTTTTCAGGCACTACTTGATACGAAGAGGCCGCCGCCCAAGGCATTCTTGCGGGTGCTAATGCGGGACTTTCTGCGCTTTATCGATCGCCAAAGAAGCAGTTTGTACAAACGCGAGCGGATGGCGTTTGGGGAGTGATGGTCGATGACCTGATTTCGAGGGGCGCCGGAGAACCGTATCGCATGTTTACCAGTAAGAGCGAATATCGTATGACTATCAGAGGTGATAATGCAAACATGAGGCTCACCGATTTGGCCTTCCATCGTTCAGCTCCATTGCTGAACACAAAACAAGTGTAGGTCGAGCTGTCGGAATCGTCTCTGATAGAAGATGGACGAGGCACGTCCCACCAATGGATGACCTGAAACGAATCAAAACTTCGTTAGAACAGCACACATCGAGTCCCCAAGTTTGCGGTCTGAAAAGAAAAGAATAGGAACTCTTCACTTATAACCTTATCTCAAGGGATGGAATGCCGCAGGTTTCAGGGTTGCCGCCGATGGGATTCAGCGAAGGTGCTTTTATTTTGGTCCTTCTAGCTTACGAAGCGTTCACTCTGACACAGTGCTTACGACCTCTTGGGTTTCCTGACTATCCCTACGCGGGATTTCGTTCCAATCAAACCGGAGCTAGCTCAATATCATCCGCGAATCCTTTATCGAGTGGATATTGAAGGTTGGGATAAAACCTATCACCTCTCAAGGGAGTTAAGAATGGAACTTTTGCCCCTACGTCGATACCGATTTAATCTCAAGCATCAAGCGCATGACGTTAAAGTCTTCATGCAAGATGAGTAAATGACTCTCCCGTCCGACATTAATTACAGCGACGTATAGGGGCTTAGCTACGAAGTCCAGGAGAGACTCACAAAACTGAGGCCAACAAGTATTGTAGGTTAAGTCAGATCTATGGCTGCCAGTGTATTGATGAATGTCCATGTACCCAAACAGGGTGCCGCGAAGCGCATGGAGGGTATGACACCGACTTCACTGCTCCATCTCATTGGGCATGTGAGGGGAAGCAAAAGTGCCACTTCAACAAAGGGCATGAGGGGGCCAGACGCTGCATGATTGTGACGGATAGAACAATCGGGATCGATATCGTATCCCATAAAATAAAGGAGTCTCAGTGTTCATGTCTTCATTCAATGCTTGGCAGACCAGCATTTCCGAAAGTCGTCGTCCCGCCACTATACTTTGTTCCTACTTCATTTTTCAGCGAGGGATTATCAGGCTCAACGATTTGTGATGACTCCACCTGCAACAAGTGCGCTTCCGTCGTCTCTCGCCACAGGGGGGTTATCTTCTAGATGAAGATTGCCAAAATTCTCCTCAACGGAGGCTACAATTTTGGTGCCATCAGGGGGAGCAATCTCAGTAGCTGTCTCATGCTGCTCCTTAGTCTCGTCCTCGCTGTCAGCGGATTCCTCGGCCCCCTCTTCGTCATCCCCAGACGACTCCTAGCTCGTCTTCGAAATCGAACTGATGGGGACAGACCATTCGATTGGGCTCGTGAGATAAAGAAAAGTGCACTCACTGGATCGTAAATCACTCGAATGATCAAGCTGCAGCTGGGACAGGTGGCGATGTCTTCGTAGTTTTTTGAGCTGAGCTTTGCTAATCTCGAAGCGATCGCCGCACGGACATGGGTAATGGAAAACCCTTGCCTCTTCGTCCCACGTCATATTCTCAATCTCGATCTCATCATAGTAACCGCCCATTGTTTGTTCAAGTCTGTGACTGCCTTGATAATTAAAACCAACTTGATGCCAGTCACATGGCACCAGTGATAATTTCTGCGTCGATATTCAAATTCAAACACAGTCCCTTGACGTTGGATATCCAAGTATCCGACATTGGACATAACCAATTGCCTCCCGATATTTTATCACATACGTGTTGATAATATTGTTCATAAATACAACGTTTTCCAATTAGCCGTCGCATGACAAGGGTATATGCAGTAGGGTTAATTTCTTCTTGCTAGTAGTGGTGCTTGTCGAACATAGCCCTGAGGACAACGTGTGAATTCAAAGATCACAGAACCCGTGAGTAACCCTCGCGAGCCACTCCCTTAACGAACTCGTGCCTCGATGCCAACTTAACTCAAAATCACATCCTATTGCTAAGCAAGGAAAACATTTCCGCAGCATTGATGGCTGCCACGACTGACGCTCGGCTTGAGACACTGGGAAACAGTCAACCTCTTGTGCCCATCACCGGAGAAAAGGAGGGATTGAGAGTGTGTGAAGTGAATTTGTAACTGGATTACCTGGATCTATGTAGGTTGCCCCCGGATCGTGAACAGAATGCACAACGAAACGAAGAAACCTTGGTACAAAAAGGTTTCTTCGATATCAGGTAGCACTTGAAAAGCACATAGCTAAGTGTAGTAGCGGCATAAAAGTGATTGCCAGGGAGGTATGTAGCAAAGATCCCAATCAGGTAGCCGAAACCAACAGGGCGCCCTGAGTGTTCCGACTCAAGGAGCTGGCATGGAGGGGTCCAAAGGGCATTATCAACACTACTGATTCGGGGCACAGTGCTGAGTATTCTGCCTACTTGGTATGTTCGGATCAGACAACACCGGAACAGAGAAATACGCCATGAATCCCATGTTCGTCCCACCTCCGGAGGCTACTCATTCCACTTGGTTTTACAGCAAAGAACTTGTACAAGTCGAAGCTGGCCTGTGTAATGCATCCATCCAGAGGTCTTAGAGTGACGAGGCAGCCAGAAGAAGCTGAGGGCTATGATGGGGATAATATAACTTAGCCCGGCGGAGAACTAAGGTACCCCATTGATATGGTGTACTTTCCCTTTATCTCTTCCCCTCTGTTCCCGATGGAGGCCAGGTACTACTGCGCCCTACCCCGGTCCTCGTAGCCCGTACTAACACAACACCACCGTGTGGAACCGGAACCGGAGGATCAAAGAACTCTCCGTGCCGTCGGCAACCCACGCGCTCGTGAAGGCCTGGGAAGACAACCTTAAGCTCCCGAGATCCATGCCAGATAAGCGGACAAAGCACCCGAATCGGGTGCCCATCGAAGAGTTCTCCGCCGCCGGGGCCCCGTCATCCTGTGGATCGGCGTGATGTGGGTCTCTTTCGGGTAATTTGAATGACGGCCTCGACGTGACCTCCAAGTACTGTAAGAAGTCCCTTGATATCGCCGTCGTCGACGTCGACGTCGAGATCAGAGAATTCAGTTGTGACCCACGGGAGGCCCGACGTCCCAAGCCCCTCCTCCGCCCAACCCTCTCTTCCAACTCCACCCATTGATACCCGCGAACCTCTTACCACTTTTCTCGGTCTCCCCATCCTCTATATACCTAGTCTACACCTTACACTGGTGAGGGCAACCGACGGTTTCTTTATTTCCGACGGCGGGAAATACCAAAGAAGCTTCCTTGCATGTCACCGCTAGCCAACGTCGTCCTCCACGCTGGACAAGAGCAAGAACGAGCTCTTTCGAGCGTAAGAACAACTGTATAGACACTGCCTTTGATGGTGTTATACCAGTACACTTGAAAGTCGTGGTTGAATTAAAAATCATTGAATGTCAAAGTTGAATGAGATAAAAGCGTGCAGACATTGAATAGGAGTTTCCTTTCTCGATCAAACGAACCTCGATAAGCTGGGCGCTCACACTCGGTAATCTGCAGCGGCACGTGGCTTGCTCGCTCCCTTTTGCTACACTGGTAGTCGCAATATTCCTAAGTGGCTAACGTAGTCATTCTACATGGGTCGCCCGTGATTCAAGAAGTAACAGTATAGCACAGTCGCATGATTGCATATCATCCCACTACAGGCATCTTAAACATGATCTACAGGATACCCCTTGAAGAACGAGTCATTTCGATGCATGTTTCCATTCTGATCTACTGGCACGCCCTGGAAAGTGCCAACATGATCAGATGGATGTTCCGTAAACACATGGTTCAAACCAGTGGGTCTCGGGAGTTGATATGTTGATCGCTGAATGCTGCTGGTCATACTAGAGTCGTTTCTGGGCAAGTTGATCGTTTGGCTCGCATGCATTGGGTCATTTCCCTGTGGGGAGCAAAATAATTATATAACGGCGTAAGTGAGTAACGAAACATGGTTGGGGGGGATAAACGGGAGTCCTACTTGGCTCACTTCTCCCTGTTCCATACTTCGCCCTTGATCATTGGATCCTGTGTGACGGGAGACGGCGCCCCCTTCACCACGTATGATCTGAAAATGTTCCAGGATGAGCAACGCCAGGTGAATATGGTTTAAAGAACATGGGGAAGGACCTCAACCTCTTGTTCGCTGATACCTTCGTCGCATGCAGCGAGGTTAAGGAGGGGATGGCGTTCTTCGTTCTGGGACATGTGCCAGATGATTCGTCTTGTGTGCTGACGCGTTTTGACCGGAGTTCAAAGGATGAGTAGGGTTCTGGAGAGAATGGGGTGTGGTTTAACTGGCCGGTGCAAGCTATTATTTAACAACAAACCAACCCGGACCTAGCGGATTCGTAGGGCGATTGGTTTTCTGTTGGTGCGAATGGTATTGGAGTTGAGGGTCTAAGGGGATGGTTTTGTATTTCATACGCACGGTCGCAGTGCAGAGAGCATGACATGTGAACGGGAAAACCTCGGGGATGATTTCGAGTGTGTCTTCCTAAAATTGGAGCTTAGATGGTGATTGACCTCTTAAGCTTGGTCGGGATCTGCATTGAACTGTGTCGCTTGTGTCGCTTAGGGCTAATTAGCATTCATTTGTAGCGTGACTACATGCGAAGGGAATTCAAATTTCCTCACCTTCATGGCGGGATGGAAGCAAATGTTCCCCACTTTAGCCCGTAGGGCGGGTTATAGAAATCCTTCATTTGGGCCTGGTATATATTATGTAAGTGCAGTGCTTGCGGATGGAGGTCGTCAGCAAGAATTACGTAGTTATCTCGTCAGCCTATTGCTGAGCGTATGTATCTCGCTTTTTGGTGGGATTGGATGTTAGGTCCAATCTGTACCCACTTCAGTATAATCGTGGACCGTCGGAGTCGGACTGTCAGATGTGTGCCCGATCCTCTCGTCACTGCTCTTCGCATCCCGGCGTAATCTGGGAAGTCGTGCTGATGGACGGAACGCGATGTGGGTGTGTTATGCATGGGTGTCATTACAGTGTAATGTGCGAGCGCGCGCTGGGCGGCTTCAACATGAGGCGAGCACAATTAGTCCGCCACTTTGGGTCAGATCCGAGTCACCTGTTTTCCAACAAATGATGTGTATTCCTGAGTCTTTCAGGGTTTCTGAGCATGTTAGCTGAGATCTTGAATAGCAAATTGGAGATGAACGTGCATCGGATAGCAATCGCATGCTTTTTATCATTCCCAAAGTGCTAAGATTTGGGTCGTTAGCTCCATGGCCTCTGTGAGGCCTCGGGGCATGGGAGCTAGAAGCCCCTAACTTGTGAAGTTGGTACAGGAATTGATCGCAACCCGAGCGGGCAAGTTTTCTTGCCCTCGTTTGACAAACTAGGAGAGCTAAGCGAGGGGGAAAAGGCAAACTTGAAAGAACACTGACCCTACTAAGGTACCGTCTGCTCATGAGTTACTGTTGCGTGATCTTCCCCGCAGCAGCCTGTTGATCAAAATTGTGCGGCTTGGGCGATTGAATGCCTGCACTACGCTAATCCCCGGTTCATGGACGGCAACGCACAACAAGTTTGCAAAGCATCAAAACCCTGAGAATCCTCCCACATATACTATGCCAGTGAACAGCCACTCGATTCGTTTTGCTATTCATTCGGACAAGGTGGGGCATCAATTGACGCGCTAGCCAAGAACATGAACGTTCAAGCCAGCTGCAGCTGTTTCCAATTTTAAGCTCGAAAAAATATCACTGCTGTCGCGCGCGCGCTATCCGCCACACAAATCAAAAACTCGTCTTCTTACATCATGATGCAAGAATCCTGTAGACCATATGACCAGGAACTCCATCAAAGTATAGTTGTAGATGGCCTCACGCAGGGGTTCCGGAAGAGCATTCGCAATAAGTTGAATGGATTTTTGACACAAAAAAAAAATCCCCCAATGAATTCGCTGGAAGCGAAAAGATCGGCCATGCTTCGTCAGGCTAATCGCCGAGGATCATTTCCATTCGAAGCCAAGTCTTCCAGTAGAAATTTGTTGGCTAAAGAGCTGCAGTTCGATGCACTACCGGACAACGTGCTTGCTAGCGGCGCGGGCCCTTGGTTGTTCGCAGACTGAATGACCGCTGGTCCGCCTGGGCAGAGAGCAGAACGGTTCACCATCACCAGTACTGAACTGATGATATCATATGATCCACAATGCCAAGTTGAGGTGTGGCTTACGACACCCACACCAAAGTGGGCCAGGTCAGTCGGTGTGCGACTGCTGTTGCAACAAACCCGGTACCATGAGTCGAGCCGCCCTCGAGTCATCACGGTTGACATATGAAAATGGAATCGAGCCCCTGACTGGGTTATTAGAGGACTTTCGTGGGGACGTGTTCAATCCAAGTAACGAGGGTTGCAACGCAGTGACCACATTCGCCTCGTGCCTTTCGACGGCCTGTGCGCAGGCAGGTAGTAAATCTGATTCCCATCCGACTTAGCTACAGGCTGCTTGTGAGTGCGCCAATGCACAGGCCCGTTTCCCTAGCGATTTCGAATACACGGCAATAGGGTAAAGGGTCTGCATGCTCGTCCGCTCGTTCTGTATGCCCCGGCGCTTTCGGCCAAGAGCCCAGCTACTCAAAAAGGTCAGCAGGGATCGTCGCAATTCAAATGCTCATACTCCATGCCAGTGAGATTGTGTTCTTTCATCCCAAGGACTTCTCCACAACCAGCGACAATCTAAACCCTCAACTGGAAGTGTTATGCTGTCACATTAAGTCATATGAATCATGTAGGCAAGGCTGGTCGGTGGCGTGTTGATGTGCTTGTCTATATAAGGCAAGACTCAGTGATGTGTTGCCATTCGCATCCGGGTGGTATTCAAATTTCCATTTGTGTGAACTCAGAGTCACGTTGGCAACGTTCTCAGCTGTTTCGCGTCACGCATGGCACACACACGGGGGGGATCGACACAGTATAATCCCTTCGACTCCAATGAACGCAAATCGGATTACTTGGAGGACTCACACGCCACCAACCACTCAGGGGTCACCAAGAAGGTTAGCACTCAGAATGCTGATTGCAACAACATGAAGCGCGGACAAAACTAGAAACATTGGTCGCTGGCAACGAGGATTTGGTCTACGGGGTGCGCCGGGAGCCCGTTCACTCCATGTTCATCGATCCACTCCCCGGCCCTCGGGGGCGGGGTCTGGTCGACTGGGTATGGTGTGAACCCATTGCTGGCCCCTGTATATGGATATCCTGCTGATGCTGAGCGGTGGTGTTGAGCGAGTTAAAGCGGCCACTGCTAACCTGCGTAAGTATTCGGGGTGCCCAGACCGAAGGGGTTTGACTGGTCCTCTGCGGGAACTGGGGTGTGATTCTATTGAACTAATTGATCAGCCAAGGAGGAGGATATAGCGGAAGGGGAATTAGTTGCACGGACCTCAGCATTCGTAGCCTCATCGCTATCGGAACCGCGGTTATCTTCAGCCAAATCGCTAGGCTCGGAGCCCGCGTCATAACTGTCTCTGGACGTCGATCCCTTTTTCACACGTTAATCTGGCAGTTAGCTTAGGTGGCGAACTACATGGGACGATACCTACCTCAGGTTGTGTAGGGACCGAGGGATGTTGGCCGGTGTGGTCAGAGAGCCCCTCCAACATGCGAGAAATTTGATGATGATGACTTTGAAAGATTCTGGAACACGAGGAGCGACGAAAGTCGTTGACTCTAGCTGATGTAGACGGCGTTAGGGTAAAAATTTGATGAGACACTAAAGGTATGGGCCCCGAGTACCTTTAGCGAAAGGGCGCCGTGAGTGAGGACACTGCTGATATGCGTTTGGACACGCCTTTTACCGCAAAGAGGAGTTGGGGCGAATGGCAACAGAAGGGGAACAAGTGGGTAAAAGTGAGTGACGGGATTTGCACAACTCTTTATATATCGCCTCTAGTTTTTCTGATCGCATCTTGAAGCTGCTTGCACCGGAGAGGAGCAGCTGGAAAGGTTTTTTTTTTTACCGCGAAGCGCGAAGCCCAAACATAGGAAGAGGGAAGCATATGCGTGCACGCACGCCATCTGGCCATGAGTCTCCACCCCCCTTTTGGTGAATGAATACAAGACCGGCACATGCGTAGCGATGGACACGGAGAATTTTCAACATAAAAAGGAAGAGGGGATTCCTGCTTTTCATGCATAGCTCCTGTCCGAGAAAATGATATGAATTCGGGCTTCTGCCCGACACCCGACCGATCGCTGAACACGAGGCAGACAAAGGATCGGAGCGCGGCATAATTTGAACATACTCAGGATGGTGAAAAACGGGGGATACCTCTACAAAATGCGTAGAGGCGGTGCCAACACCTCCAGCGTCTGGGGCTTTGGGTAAAGTAATTGCTTGACCCGCAAATTTGGCTCTAGTGCGGTGCATGAGGCCCCTTGCTCCGACGAAATGTAAGCTATGTATTCCAGACAAGGAACAAAGGGCAAAAATTTCACAACATGCGTAATCCATAATTGGTCGTGCTAATGAATGGCCCACATAAATGGTGGTATTGACAGACCGACTAAGTTGTCTCGCAAATTGGTATAGCCTATACAACACTTTAAATACTAAGCGCCCGGCCAAAAGTGGCCTCGCGTACTGCAAGAATGCAAGGAGTGTGCCCGTGGCGAATTGATGAGGAAGAAAAAGCCGCTTAGTACTAACATGTGGATTATCACTCGATTCAATAAAATACTAAGGAAAAAAACATGTCTGTTCAAGGCACTGCGCCATGCGTGTGCTACCACTACCAACCCTTACTATGCAGGTTGGATTGGAATTGTGGGCCTCCTGGGCGGGGTTCCAAGGGTATATTCACACCGATTCTTGTGGCTCTGGAATGTTGTTGCACCAACTTATCGTACCAGAGGACAGATCGAGGGATTTAATTTTTAGGGGGACAAGGTTAGAGCTCGAATCAGGCCTAAGCGCTTTTGGTTGCAGCTCTAGCACTTCAACAAAGGCTCTCTAGTAGCTGATCATAAGTGCCAGCTTCTGGGCTCTTTGGCGCTAGAATCTGATTCAAACTCGCATACAGCGGCTTCGAACTGAATGTGAACATGACTCAATTCAGTTTGCTGCGTTTCTGACTTCGAACCACTTCACTGAGGAAGCTGCTGGGACTTTAGCGTGGACATCGGGTTATCCACTTAACTTGGATTCGGAGCGCTGGATGTCGCACACACTGCGGACGCTGCTCAGATCCGTGGGATCCTGCTGGGAGCCGTGGAATCTTCTTGGATACTGGAACTCGTTTCTGCGCCAAACTCAGGGGTAAGGTCGCTCTGAACTCCAGATTGCATTGGGGGTGCTGGGAACACAGTTATGTGTGGAGCTCTTGAGGTTCTGCCATCTGATGCGAATTCACTTCCGTGTCATCGACTGGCTCGTCGTCACTGTCCTTTCTGGAACATGGAAATAGCTCGGACTTCACACTGAAGTCGACATCGTATTAGTCGTCTCAGAGCAGTTTTTGTACAACAGCAACAACATCGCCCATACGGGGACCCTGGGTCGAATCAGACCACAGGCCTTGTCGTGCCCGAGTTCGCGTCTGAACTTGGACGAGAATCCTTGGTAGAGTGAGTCATCATTCCCTGAAGCGGTAACGACGTTCTTCACTTCCGAACGTGCAGCAATGAGATGGAACTTTCGCCGGGGCTTAGGTGTCTTGATAACACTGATCTCCTCAACACTGTTGTCCATTTCGGCAAGCACAACAGAGTCCATATTAATCGCCACACACACGCAGGCCCAGAAACTGTTTCATCCATTGCATTTGGCGGGAAAAACCTTCCGGGACGCATTATCTGGTGCCCATTGTTGGTGCGAGGGGGACGGGCCGGTGTGTGGAATGGAGCGATCCAAACCGGCGACAGAGCGTGAGAGAGAGAGAGATCTAACCAATCTTGCCCCATCGAAAGCAAAATGATCTGGTAACTATTCATTTTTGTGCACAGATCGTCCCAACAACTTGTCCTTCCCCGTCACCCAGCAGTTTGACCGCATTTCCCCCACTCCTTTGCAATGCATTGCTTAATGCTGACGGTGTTCAAAGGGGGAACGCTCACTATAATGCAGAATATTAGCAAGATGTTCATTTGCCGACTACATACTATAATGGGGGAGTCAGGGATCATCTAGTTCTATAATTTTGCTAACTCGGCGGCCAGTATCACAATCCTTCCATGTAACGATCGTCAGAGGGGAATGCAATGCAAAGGGGAGACCAAGTGTTCCTGCACATGTGTTCAGCACTTATGTTGTTGTTGAAGGGGATACAGCTGGTCCGCACGGTACGAGTGGGGGGTGGGTCGAGTGAGCCAGTCTCTAATCCCAATGGCATGGAAGCCTGAACGTTTGTTCTCATTATGACCTCTCACGAAAGTGAGTCTATACAGCTCCCCGGTCGCATGTTGCATAACCTGGGCAGGGTGCTCCATGGGCCCATGGGCACTTGGCATGGGGGCGATCACGGCATTGCGGGGGGAATATTTGGACATGGACGCTAAAATATAGGATACAGAGACTCATCGAGCCGCCCGTTGGGTCCGACTTTCAGCAGTGAGTAGACCATGAATGGCCTGGGAACCATGTGATGACTAGGTCCCTCATGACAACACCGTAAAAGTAGTCCGAGCTAAGGGATTCCCTGGAAGTTGAAGCTGTGTCATGATGTTCCAATCAGCTGAGGATGTCCATTCACGTAAATTTCCCAGTAAGGGGGTTGACAATGGAGACAAGTGCTTAGTTCGGCCAACTCCGGCCTCCAAAAAATGCTGTCACGTCATCGCAAATCCTGGCTGAGAACCTGACGGTATCACTGCCGCATGACGGAACGAGATTATGATACTTCCCTCTTCGTCTCGTCACATCTCCGATTCGATCATAACCGTGCTGGCTTAGTGTACAGGAGGATGCGAGCCTTTGATTATACTGGGGTACTCTGCCAGTAGCGCTGACAACTTTCATGACGGGTCACGCGCTTATGATTCGCACGATCTGTCAGCCTCCCCTGCAGTGCTGTATTTCTGAACATCTACCAACCCTTCGATGTTCTTGATTACACATGATCCTCTTTTCGTGCAATCTATAGCGCTCGTTGGTGTTCTTATCATTAGGCAGCTTCTCCGCGGTAGACGCTGGGCTATTTACACTAGCCACAACGAGTGGCGAGGAGTTCAACATGGCTTGCTTGATGTCCAACACCCCAACCTGGTCCCTAAATGTGCAAAGATTCACGCGTTTCCATGGATCGTTGTGCCTTAAGCCATCCCAATAAAGCTGTCTGATCAATTGGATGCAGAAACAACTTCGCATGAACCAAGTCTACGGCATCAATGTTGGCACTAAGGTGGGCTTGATCCCTTGGCCTTCGATGCCAACGTGGAAAGTTGGTAGGCGGGTTGTTCGCTCCGTGATTCCCCCCTCAGATCAGCGAGCAAGTGAGCTCCCTTAGCGGAGGAGATAAGCGGCTTGATCACGCTCCCCTCTTCAATTCTTTCGCTCCTTCGCTCTCCGTGTTTGGTGTGTTGGCATCCTCTTCTGCGGGTGTCGTCCGTAGCATGCGCCTGCCAGTGGATAGGATGAGACATCTGGCCACAACTTGACCGGTCCCTCATCGCCCACTACATACCTTACCCATGTTGAGATGCCGAATACCAGAGTAGGAACAGCCCGGTCGCCAGCAGTTACCCCCTTTGGGAGGATGGTGTTGGGCGTTGAGTGTTGGGCGTTGGGCGTTGGGCGTTGGGCGTTGGGCGTTGGGCGTTGGGCGTTGGGCGTTGGGCATTGGGCGTCCCTTATGAAGCTGCTCAGGGCTTATGTGGTGTTCTGGAGATACCTGGAAAGACCTAATCACACAATGCGGTACTCCCGCGCTGGTGGCCTGTGATCCGCAATCTCCGCACAGCTATACCTCCAGTCAAGTGTGGAATGTCTTCTCCTTCGGTTAGAGCTTAGGAAACCGATTCGAATTCCATGTTACAACATATTGTAACGTTCATAATTGGAAGGGCGAAAGATGGAGGCTGTTGAATTACCTTGCTTCCCTGGCTTCCTTCTGGGGATCGGATCGGATTACCTGTTCGATAGTGGAATGATCTGCCAGTTTCTGATGAGCCAATGAAAGGTTCCAAGGCCTGGCTTGGTCACCTGCATTGAGCTGTGGTAAGACTGTCAGGAATGTTGTCGCTGTCCAAATAGTGCAGGATGTGATGTGGTGAGCAAGAGTGAATTGACACCTCTTGTGGATTTTGGTGAGCGGGTGCAGTTATGCAATTTTCAAATTCAAAATACACGGACTCACGTCGGAAAACCGCCGCAAAATTGAAATATCAATTCCGAGTATATACAGTTGATTGTTCCAGTATTCATGACATTGCAAAAACACTGAGTTGAAATTTCATAATGATCACACGCAAGGATTCTTCGAGATTCGAGATTCGGAAGAGCACCATTAATAAGTTTGACACAATGAATTGAATTTTCCAACAACTTGGGCTGCGTGCTTCGTTGAACGACTAATCATCGATGCTATGTAATTTGGCGCTAGCGTTGTATTGGCGGCGTGAGACTTGGTTGCTCCCGCGAGCCTGGCCAGACTGAATGGTCTGACCTGCTGGCCCAGCAGAGAACCAGAACGGTTGAATTCATCACTGCAGGTCCGTACAAACCCGATATCATCTATGATGTTTTTGATATGATTTTGACATCGACATTGAGAGGGTGTCAACAGATATGCTACATCGAGCTCGGCGTCATGAGACGAACCACGCTTCATGGATCATTATGTGAACGATGCGAACGGAATGAAGCCCTCATTGGCTCGGGGAGCGTTTTTCAGTTGGCGGGCCTCGCAGAAATTAACAGCTAGCGGGGGGTTGCGGTGCAAAGGGAACATCGCCTCCCCTTACAGCCTGTGCGTAGTTAATGAAGTTGATTCCTATCCGAGTTGTGGCGCAGAATGCTAGCACGGAAACATGAATAGGGGGATCTGCCCCGGGAAGATACGGGGTTGATCCATGCATGATATGTGAGGACTAGAACGTGTGGAATGTATGAGATTTTGATATTTGGACTCGATGGATCGCAACTGGAACTGGAGACGCCAGAAAAGAACCCGCTACAAGTTCCGTATACAGTAATCAGTCGATTCTCAAATATATTGAAATATTTTGTACAGGTTAGCAGCTTGCGGGAACATTGCAGTGCATGCCCAGAAACAGCAGCTCCGAACAGCCGAAAGAATCAGAAACATGGAGTAGTGCTTATGCCCACTTTGAAGAGAGCTTCAGAATATTTGATTTGAAGGTGGGAGGCAATCCAGGCTGGAAGCCAAATACTTTTGTTTATTGGCCTTACTCAATCAGGATGTTAGATATGTAGACTACATGCCCCCAGTAACAATAACAAGAACCGGCCCAACCCAGAACTCATGAATGTTCGAGTGGCCAATTAATACCCAAATTATATTCTTCTGATTTGCCAATGTGGCCAAGTGTTGGTG